CGTCTTAAGAAATCTCTATATGGTCTGAAACAAGCGCCCCGATGCTGGTTTAAGAAGCTTTCGGACTCTCTCTTACGGTTTGGCTTTGTGCAATCATATGATGATTACTCTCTCTTCTCAATGAAGGACCTTGGTAAACTCAAATATTTTCTTGGTCTTGAGGTCAGTCGTGGACCAGAAGGTTTCTTTGTTTCTCAGCGCAAGTACACTCTCGACATCGTCAGTGAAACAGGAAATCTTGGTTGCAAGCCTGCACCTACGCCTCTTGAACAAGGTCATCAACTTGCCAATCCTAAGTTGGAGAGTCCAACGTTTGCTAATCCTCGCCGCTATCGACGTTTGGTAGGCCGGTTGATATATCTTAGTCACACCAGACCCGAATTGAGCTATGCTATTCATATCTTAACGCAATTCATGCAAGTTCCCAAGGAGGCTCATTGGGAAGCTGCCTTACGTGTGGTTCGTTTCTTAAAAGGCACTATTGGTCAAGGTATTGTTCTCAAGTCGGATCCTGATCTCTCTCTTGCCATCTACTGTGATGCCGATTGGTCATCTTGTCCGGTTACTCGTCGGTCTCTCAGTGCATATGTTGTTCTTCTTGGAGGCTCCCCTATTTCTTGGAAAACAAAGAAGCAAGATACAGTTTCTCACTCTTCTGCTGAGGCAGAATACCGGGCCATGTCCGAGGCACTTAAAGAGATCAAATGGCTGCGACGTCTTCTGGAAGGATTAGGTATCCGTCAATCTGCGCCATCACGTTTGTTTTGTGACAGTAAGGCTGCAATTCATATAGCTGCAAACCCAGTGTTTCACGAGCGCACAAAACATGTGGAAAATGATTGTCATGCTGTTCGAGATGCAGTCACTGCCAAGTTCATTGAGACTATTCATTTTACTACTCATGCACAGCTCGCGGACATAATGACAAAGGCGCTTGGACGTGAGACGTTTCAGAATTTATCATTCAAGTTGGGTCTTACGAATCTCCACACTCCAACTTGAGGGGGAGTATTAGGGAGATAAGGACTATTTCTTTATAGATAATGATGTACTTAAGTTTATCTCCTACTTCATAGGAACTTAGGAACTATCTTTGGGGTGATCTCTCTTGTATAAATAGATTGCTTGATGAACATTAATAAGACAAGTTGTTTCGGGTATCTAATTCTACACTTTTCATATCTTTAGTTTTTATTTGAAATACAAATAAATAGTTTTAAGAAGATTCTAACAAATCTTTTAAGAATCTTTTATAATCTTTTCAATATATAGTTTCAAAAATTATTTGATTAAAATTTTAATTATCATACAATATAATTAGAAAATTTAACTCATTTTTATTTATAAACAAAAAAAAAATATGTAAAATACTTTTAAAAATATCCCAAAATTTTGTTTATGTAATTATATAGATCCAACTTAATTTACTTTTTACATATATTTCAAATTTAAAAATAAAAAATATAAATTAGTAATGTTACATAATAATGTTTTTAAAAATTGTTACAAAATACATATTTATAAATTTTAAATTAATAATATTATAAGTCACATAAATATTATTATAAAGTTGGATAGTATACATAATCAAATTATATTTATTTATTGATATATTTTACTCCCTCTGTTTTTTTAATATATGATGTTTTGGATCATTGCACAAACATTAAGAAATTTATATTCTTTTACAAAAGTATTTTTAAAGATATAATTTTAAAATCATTCAACAAATTATTAAAAATACAGTAAAATTTTATTGGTTAAATAGTTTCCAATAAAGTTAAAAGCAACCTTAAAACCTCAAAATATATATTAAAATCTCAAAACGTCTTATATTTTGAAACAAAATAAATCTTTTAAACATCATCTAATTTGAAACAGAAGGAATATTATATAATTTCAAATATTCGTATTAATATACCCGCACGGTTGTGCGGTCGAGATCTAGTTTATTAGTTAAATGTAATAATAGCTGCTACATTAATAATTATCCGGCTAACACACGCATACATCTTATTCATATATACGAATCATATTTATCTACTTAATTCGATATAAAGACATTGGTCTCATGAAATTATGTGTTGGCACTGAGTTGAGGACGAAACACCATGGCTTAAGTACAGACCTCAGCTTGGTAAGGTGGATATTTGTGAAGGTAACGAGACGGCTCTTTCGACGGCAGAAGATCATGAGAGAGTGAGAAGTTGTGTCGAAAGTTTAGAACTAAGACTTTCACAAAAAAAGTTTAGAACTAAGATGAGATGTGAGTCTCTGGGTTGGTGTAATCTTGGGTTTAATGAAGAAAGATTTTGGAGGTTCTAGAGGTGGGATGAAACGCATATTTTTGATCGCCAGATGATGAGAAACTTAAGGATTCTTCTAACTCCAATATATAGTATGTTTGATTTTGTTCACGACTGTGGAGGTGAATGGTTCGTGATTGGTGATTATATATGTTGGATTAGTATCATGTTCATTGATTTGATTGCTTTTATTAGAAAAAAAAAAAAAGAAGCAGAGGAAGAAGATAATGGAGAAGATGGAGAAAGAAGAATACGATAATGGAGAAAAACTAGAACAGATCTTTTATATATTTACATTATTTAATAAAATCTTAAACAAATTTACACCGTACTTGCCAACCTACTTTTTCACACAGAAACAATCTCTCGAGGACTCACCGGTAATTTCGCATATCTCTCTCCTTTTATGAAGTTGTACTTTTTACTGTTCTAGGCATTTAGCTAATTACTAAATTCTTTATGTATTTTGAGACAATTTACTCTAATAAGTAACATGTTTACAGTCGTCAAAGTCAGGATGGCCGAGTGGTCTAAGGCGCCAGACTCAAGTTCTGGTCCTCGTAAGAGGGCGTGGGTTCAAACCCCACTTCTGACATTACTTTTTTTTATATGCCTATATGAGAGGATGTGATGGCTGACTATTGAATAAATTCTTCTTTTTATTTGCTTTACGGGGTCTATTACTATCCTCTTTCGTATAAACTAAAATGACGAGACAAAGAAACATAAATTAAAATCAGTAATAAAACATTTAGGATCTTATCTATTTAGAAAAATATGTTAGAATGGATGATTTAGGAGCTGAAAATGAACTTGAGAGTTCAAGTAAGAGAGAACAAGTATGAACTAGAGTGGAAGAGATATATAAGTAACTGAAGAATAACAATCAAGATAGTTATGAAAAATATATGTTTCTGTAACCAAGAGTGAATAGAGAAAATTAAAGTATCAAAGAGTGAGATCAGCCCCCAATGGGAATATCTAGCATTGGGGCATCTCATTAGGAAAGTTGAAAGACCTACGAAAGACGACCAAGGAGATGATGAGTTGAGTGAACTGAAGCTAAGCTTATGGAGATGAAGCAGATTGGACGAGGAATGGAGAATGATGATCTTGAGCTCAACCTGAGAAAAGGAGACATGTTTTTGGCTTTAAGAAGCCGTGTACCAGCTTAGCTTTAGATCATCAATCTAAAAACTTAAAGCTAAAGCTTGTCTTGCTTCCTTTGCTTTCTCTCTTTAGCATAAGTACATTGACCATCACACATGGTAATGTGATCTTCTGTGATCCATCTCAGATACTAAGCATGGTTATCATGTGTCTGGAAAGTACCAAAACATCCGTGAAGCATTACATAGCGGAGAGGAGAAGTTCATCGACTACAAAAGAGAGCTAATAGCATCTAAGTCACCCATCATCCACCCCCAGCCCTTCAAGTGATCCATGCAGATCAGCCTATCCACAGCCATACCAACTTCTTCTTATCCTGCGTAAGAAAAATGTTGACAATGTTCTTGATATGTGATTTCCGTTTTCGTGGCTACGAGCCTTTTCATCGTGTTATGCTTAGCCATGTAGGCGTTTTAATATTCCTCCATAGTAGTGAAGTAGTTAGCAGTAAAGTGTTCTCGTCCCATGGCTATGTTGAACACGGTCATATGATTGCTAGGATCAGAATCCACTGAGAAAGATTGAACTGTTAGGCAGTGTGTCTAGGCGCTCCTTGGTTACTTTATTTGCAGCGGCTTGCTGATTAATATACACTCCTTCAAGTCTTTCATCATGGTCATCATAGTGGCGAATAAACTCGGCAAGAACAATAAAGCTAAATGAACTCGACTTTTTGTGCCAACTTATGTGTGAGTGTAACCTCAAATTAAGTTTTCCCCTATTATTTATAATAACTGACTTCTTTCCATTTCCCTCCAAGTAGGCATGTTCGTCTGAACGCCTTTTGGTCAGCTGGGTCGAATTTTATTTACTTGATGGACTTTGTTCAAAGAATGTAATCTATTGAACATCACCTCTGCTGCAAAAGAAAAACAAGAAGAAATAATACAAAGAAAATAGATTACATTCCATGATGATTGATGAGTAAAAATGTGCATTTTTCAGCTCAGTTTGATTTCTTGAACACGTGTCAAAGAAAGTGAAAATATGCTTTTTTCAGCTCAAAAAAACAAACTGAGCTGGAAAAAACACATATATTTACTTGATGGACTTTGTTCAAAGAATGTAATCTATTGAACATCACCTCTGCCGCAAAAGAAAAACAAGAAAAAAGAATACAAAGAAAATAGATTACATTCCATGATGAGTAAAAATGTGCATTAACTCACTTTGACTTCTTGAACATGGTGTCAAAGAAAGTGAAAATATGCTTTTTTCAGCTCAAAAAAACAAACTGAGCTGAAAAAAAACACATATATTTACTTTTTTCGACACCTTGTTCAAGAAACCAAACTGAGTCAAAAATGCACATTTTACTCAATTACCTTCTATATACTGAAGAAGTTATCAACATAGAGCTGAGTTTTGATATATACAGCATAGTTCTTTCTTATATCAAAATAAGTTTGAGAATCAGAAAAGTTTTGCCAGTCACACATCTCTTCTTCTTTTTTTTTTTACAACCAGCAATCTATATATATCCAACTATATATAGAAGAAACAAAACAACAATTTTAGAAAAACTCCAACCACCTTTTCAAATTACATTAGATATTATTAGTAAAGAGTAGGAAGTAAATGGTATAGTTTGAAGTAATTTCCATTACAAATTGCTCGTCAAAAAAAACTGAAGTTATGTATGAAGCTTTCTGTAACAACACAAAACTATTATCAGGGTAAGACCCCTAATTGAATTGATAAGGTTTTAAGATTTTCAGCACTCGATTCTCACAGCTCCACTCTCAGAGGAAACGAACTTAGGTTTCCTAATGACTGCCTCCATGCACTGAATCACATCTCCAACTCTAAAATCATTCCACTCTCCCATCACAAGCCCACACTCGTTCCCTTTCCCTACCTGTTCCACGTCTTGTTTCTCCCGTTTCAGCGACGCACACGACCCTTCAAACAACACTTCTCCACTCCTTAACAGCCTCATCATCCCGCTTCTACAAACTCGACCATCCATCACTTTGCAACCCGCGATGCTCACTCCATCTTCTTCACTTCTCCTCTTTCCTAACACCTTAAAAATGCTGAGAACTTCAGCTTCACCAGCCACTTCCAGCTCTGAGATTCCAGGTGCTTTCTCTACGATCAAGTTCCCGATGTCTTCGAGCAAATGGTATATCACACGGTGATGGAATACCTAAGAGATCACCATTGGTTACAACGTTAAAGCTCTCTCCACAATACAAATGCCAAAGTAAGAACATAAACCATATACCTTGACGCTGGCTTGAGCCGCGGAAAGATTACCAGAACCTCCACCCTTAACGTTAAAGGCAACGATACACGCACCGCAAGCTTGTGCTCTCTCTAAATCAGAGTGAGACACTGCTCCTACTCCACTATGAACAATGTTCACAAAAACCTATCCAAATAAAAAAAAACCATAAGAAAACAATCGTAACACATAGAGCCAAATAATTAACAAACACCAAAGTATAGCACCTGTGGGCTATTTAACGTTCTTAGGGCATCAGCAACAGCCTGTGCAGTTCCTTGCACGTCAGACTTCACTATTATCGGTAACTCAACTCGAACAAACCCTTCTTCAGACTCTGCTTCTTTCTTCTCTGCTTCGGCTATTCTAGCTTCCTCTGCTTTCAACAACCGATCTCTTTCATATTTCCTTTTCCTCCCTTCACTAAGCATCTTCGCTCTTTCCTCCGACTCCACCACAATGACATCGTCACCAGCCATTGGAAGACCCTTAAGCCCTTCAATCTCAACAGGCATCGCTGGTGTTGCTCGGTCCGTTTGCTTACCGACCATGTCCCTGATAGCCCTGAGTTTTCCCCACTGAGAACCAATAACTACGTGATGACCACTAACCAAAGTACCAGCCTTTACAATAATGGTGGCTAACGGTCCACGGCCTTTGTCGAGCCGAGCCTCCACAACATATGCTTGAGCTGGTCCTTCCACGCGTGCTTTAAGGTCCATATCCACTGCTTCAAGAAGCAGCGCTTCTTCTAACTTGTCTAGCCCTGTACTCTTCATTGCAGACACCTCAACAACCTGAACGTTTCCTCCAATATCCTCAAGCTCAATCCCCTCAGCGGCGAGCTGGTTCTTGACTCTTTCCGGATTAGCTCCCGGTTTGTCACATTTATTGATAGCAACCACAATTGGAACATTCGCAGATCTAGCGTGCGCAATAGCCTCTAGAGTCTGGGGCATTACACCATCATCAGCAGCAACCACCAAGACAACTATATCAGTAACAGCAGCTCCTCGAGCACGCATCTCACTGAAAGCAGCATGACCAGGCGTGTCTAGGAAGGTGATTGAAGTGCCGGAGTCCGGCATGCCCACCACGAACGCACCCACGTGCTGAGTGATCCCACCAGCTTCTCTTGCCGCCACGGAGGTGTTTCTTAAAGCGTCCAATAAAGAGGTTTTCCCATGATCTACATGGCCCATTACCGTTACAACTGGAGGCCTTGGGAGGATTTGTGATCCTTCTGTGGTATGTTGCCTCCTTACATTGATTCCTATTTCCTGCAAAAGGATAAGCACGCAAAAAAATAGAGTTGCATTAAAGAAAGCACTGCAAAGTACATCGTCTTGGAACTAGAGGTAGAGTCAATTTACCATTGCAAGAAGCTCGGCGACATCTATGCTGATTGCGTCAAATTCTGAACTAACGGTTTCCCCAACATTGACGAGAATGCTCTGCAGAACCGCCAATGACTCACCAGTACGCTTGGAGAACTCAAGTAACGTCATGCCTTCGAATACGTCGACTGTCTTCTCAGCCAATCCCTTTGCTAATCTTTGCAGCCTAGGAGGCACATAAGGAGCTTCAACGGGTGGCTTATCTGTTTTCTTCTCCCGTTTTGAGAACTTTCCTTTCGTTTTCACAGTCTGTTTTTTGAGCTCACGATGGCTCAGCGTACGATCAGGATCCTCTTTTCTTCTCGCCAGTGTTTCTCGGCTTGCATGAAAGTACCTGTTTATAAAAATAGAGGCCACTGAGCATTTCTATACTGTGATATAAGAGAGAAGGATTCAAAAATAGGCGAATGGTTTACCTTATGGATGTTAAGGTTGTGGAAGATTCATAATTAGGCGAGCTGAACCCGAAGCCTAAAACATGAATAAAAGCTTTCTTTATTAGTTTTCAAAATGTTAAAAGCAAACTTTGTAAACATCGTTTTCACTATGCTTACAATTAATGTGTCGAGCGAATGAGAAAGCCACACTTTCAGAAGTGCTATTCAAAAACCTAGAGGAAATATGCCTCTCTGTAGATGCTGCTACTCGCGGAAGAACCAAACCTCTTTTAAAAGAAGCTTGAATGCCCTGTAAATACGTTAAGCCATCCGTAAACATATGTGAAATGCTAATAAAAGTGAGACCGAAATGGATAGAAAAATACAGACTAATGCTTCACAACATTTCACTTAATTTCCAATCAACAATATTGAAAAAGGAGTAGCTTAGAAAATGAACTGATTAAAACACGCTTCACGTTCATCCATGGATGAACACATACTCGTAGGTATAATCACATTCAAGCAAATGCAGATTTGCTTCACTATGACTTAAAAAGGTTTTGAAATCTAAGCTAGAGGCTTTAGTGTGGCAATTCATAAAGAGAAACAGATCAAGAACCAAAAATCCAACATCAAACATAATTACGACATATCATTTGGAGAAAACAAGAGTTGTTTGATAGCCCTGACCACTAAAAACTAAGCAAAGTTTAAGCAGATGCCAGAAAAAAGTATGAAATGGAATCTAAACCTATAATTTCAAAGTTTTACACGAATGATTACCTTCTTGCCTAAGTGCCTCAACGCCATTCATACGCCAATAAAACTCTGCACTGAAACAAAACCCTAAACTTGGTAAGCATGAAATTTTCATTTAGAAACAAAACCATAATCAGAAGTTGAGACAATGTCCTAACAGATTCTTCTCGACCCAAAACCTCTAAACAGAAGAACTCTTAATCACAAATTGGATTATTCGTCATATGTTGGAGAAGATAATGTTTCTTTTCAATTGTTTTCTAACAAGGAGATATACAGATTCCTTTGGTGGGGCGGAGTCAGAATGCACCAGCGATTAGAAATGTTTTAATTCAAGTCGTGAAGATAAATGGCTAAAATAAATATATATCAAGTATGCATATATATCGGCAGTAACTTCGTTTCGGCAAATGAATGAACACCTTGCGCGCATACAAACTCGAAGAAAAAAATAGGAACAAGCGCAAGTGTTATCTAACCTTGAAAGCTTGGATCGGGGTTACAGGGAGGATCTCTTGTCTTCTGGAGTCTTTGTCTCTCAGAAAATCGTGGCAGATTAGGAACTTCGAAGCTGAGAAGAGAAAAGAATGGAACGTAAGAACAACGACAAAGATCAAAAGCACAAAAAAATCTCTCTTCTATTTGGGCTTTTAACTTCGCTAATCCTAAATCCATTACATGGTTAAGCCCAAACAAAATCTTTTCGACTTTGGAAAAGGTGCTTTTCGTCAATATTATTAAATACAACCTCAACTACTTTTTAATTCAAATTTACTACTCAGATTAACTTTCATATTCTCGAACCCTATTTTAATTAGAGTTTTTATCACTGCAAGGCAGTTTATGAGTTTTAATATCACAATAAGGCAGTTATTGCTATTTGAGCAGTTTTGTAGTGAAATGTCTTAACTTGCCCCTGAAAAAAGTGTAACTGGTGGGGTAAAATTGGAAAGAGGTTTTTAGCTTTCTGGTTACGTTTTTGAAATTTAACATTAGTGAGTAGATTCAATGGATTTCGTTGAGTTTTTGATGTAATTGAATGAAACCGATGCAAAAAACATCTCGAGAGAGGAGAAACTTTGGCACGGGCAGAGCTGCGCTACACGAAGGATGAAGCTGATAATGGTACAACAGAAGGTTTAGCTGTGAGCCACCGGGTGATTTGGCATATTTAAGAAAAGAGAATTTTACGTTCAGAGTCACTTTTGTACTTTGTAATAGCACAACTAGTCACTTCTTTATACAAGTACACTTTTTCTTAAACACTCGTAGACTTGGGAAGAAATGAGTTTTCTTAGTTCAAATCCATCCCTCAATCTCGTTAACAAAAATAAAAAACAGGCGGGCTTTATTCTGAACCATCCATCTTCACAAACAATCGACGGCCCAGATTCACTTCCTCAGATCTGGACAAGACACATATCTTCCAAAGCTCCCCACCGTTTGATCCTTCACCCTTCACTTCTCAATCGACGGCCAGGATTTTTCATTTTATTTTACCTCACCGAAATCATTCACGCCGTTCAACTTTTTACACCTTTCACCGTCGTGTTTCTGTAAAAAAATAGCTTCCATCGTCGACTTGAACCATCTTCAAACAGATATTCCTGCTACTCTTTTTACTTAGAAGGTCTGTTAATTTATTTATTAATCTTTATTACTTACCTCCTAATTATCTGTCTATTGATCTTTGACTTTTTTTTTTAATTTTGTTAAGCAGCCGGCGGACATGTCGGACCATGTTATGGTAATTGCCGGCGAGTGGAAAACTTCAGCAGACGACCACTGGAACTTCTCCATAGACAAACAACACATGACAAGGATCGTGCCTCTGCGTGAAGGCATACCATTGTCTGAATTACTGAGCACTGTTTTTAGGGAGTTCTTTGACAGTTCCGACATCATCCGCACCGCTGCTCTTAGCTACTGGCCACCAAATTCAAAGGAGCTTGCAACAGGTCTCACCACACCGCCAGTAATGCTCACAAATGACGGTGTTGTCTCCTACTTTTACAAGCACTTTCTAACAAACAAAGGAATGAACTTGTTTGTCACCTTCAACACCCCTCACATGAGCCGTGTTGATGAGAATCCATTACCTTTCAACACGCCAAATCAACCTATCAAGAGGACACACAGTCCATCCACCGCTGGTTCTCAGATACCAGGTTTCTCCCTTTTCAAAGATGATGAACTCGACCTCTCTCCTAATTGTCCGCCTGTACAGCCTCCAAGGTCTACATCCGTACATACTAATAGTCATCAACATGTGCACACCCTGCCTCGTCCACCTGTACACTCCCAGAGTTGTCCACCTGTACACCGCCGTGGAAAAGCACCTGTACAGCCGGTCCACCCTGGGAGTTATCCTCCTCTCCACCATGTTAGTCGGCAGTCTAACACAGTTAGCGGTCAACCTCTACGCTGTTCACCATCCGTGTCTCAGATCCCACCTATTTCTCTTTTTCACAACAACAATACACAACAAACAACAACGGCGCCAGGGAGCGGGGCTCCATCACAAGCCCATCGCTTTGTCACTGCAGACGAAACCCTGTTATGCGGAGATGAGCTCCTCCAGAAAATGTTTACAGACAACCCCGACAACATACCAGACAGCTGGATAACGGACGACGACGATGAAAGTCAGTCCGACACTTCGATTCCTCCCGGTTTTGACGATGTTCAACCCCGTGGTTATGACGAAGACTTCTGGGCTCCCCTCATTGACGATCACCTTGGTGGGTCTGATGCTGCCGAGCTCATGGTGGGGGTCTCAG